TCGGCAAAGAAAAGAACCTAAAAGAAAGGTATCTATATAGGATTTATGCTCTATATAACTCTATATAACTCTATATAACTCTATATAACTCTATATAACTCTATATAACTCTATATAACTCTATATAACTCTATATAACTCTATATAACTCTATATAACTCTATATAACTCTATATAACTCTATATAACTCTATATAACTCTATATAACTCTATATAACTCTATATAACTCTATATAACTCTATATAACTCTATATAACTCTATATAACTCTATATAACTCTATATAACTCTATATAACTCTATATAACTCTATATAACTCTATATAACTCTATATAACTCTATATAACTCTATATAACTCTATATAACTCTATATAACTCTATATAACTCTATATAACTCTATATAACTCTATATAACTCTATATAACTCTATATAACTCTATATAACTCTATATAACTCTATATAACTCTATATAACTCTATATAACTCTATATAACTCTATATAACTCTATATAACTCTATATAACTCTATATAACTCTATATAACTCTATATAACTCTATATAACTCTATATAACTCTATATAACTCTATATAACTCTATATAACTCTATATAACTCTATATAACTCTATATAACCATGCATACTACCACATTCAATCAATAAAAATCCAACTAAAACCAGGAACCACCGCGTACCTGTTGAATGTATGGTGTAAAACAAAACAAAAAAAACACAAAACGAAAAACACACCACCAAGTAGAGTAAGAGAAAAGAAGTCCCTAACCTACCTATGTAACTAAATTACCTTATGCCCTAGCCTACCTATATAATAAATTAATCTCAATCTCACCTACCTATGTTTAATTAACTTAACTCAAGACTCATGAAGAAAGAGAAAAAAGGGTAAAACAGAACAAAAATACTACCACACAAACAAACATGATGTATGTATGTATGTATGAGCAACCGCTAAAGAACCCACCTAAAATATAAAAAAAAATATAACATACAAACACACAAACCACAGGCAACATACAAACTCTATATAACTCTATATAACTCTATATAACTCTATATAATAAAATAAATAGATAAATAAATTATAAAAATAAAATAAAGGAGATCAGGCAGACTGCTTCAAGCGAGGCAGAATGCCTGATCTGATTTTCATGCTGTTTTGGCTCCTTTTTATACTCGGTTCAACCATACATTTTCATCATTTCAATCATTCACATCAGTAAAAAATTTATTTAATGTATGTACTACACTATTGTACAGTCTTAACAACAACGCTAACCGTCCGTACTATTGACGTCATCGAACGAACGCCTTCTAAACTTTCTGATTGGCTGGTTGAATCTGCTATATTGCTTTTTATATAAACCTATAATCTTATTAATTAATTGTATACATAGATTCTAGTTACTTTATAGTTCAAATTTTTCGAAGAGAATTCAAAATAGTTTGAGACCACACCTTGCTTAACATCCAACTCCAAGCCGAGCCAAGCCAAGCCAAGCCAAGCCAAGCCAAGCCAAGCCAAGCCAAGCCAAGCCAATATGGGTAGATTTATAAGCGCTTTTATATTAAAATTTTGCTCGCTTTATATACGAATGTAATCAATATCGATATCAAAGAAATAACGCGAGTGAGTTTAAAAAATATTTCATTTCCTCCAACGATTTCTTAACAAATTCTCCATCCTATTTAAAAAATTTTCTAGATGTTTTCAATCAGTCAGGTCACAATCATCATGATCGATATTGCGATTAAATAAAATTGAAATTTTTTTAAGATTGTTGATAAAAGTAACTTATTTCATTTAATGATACTATCCTGTTTAATAAGATACTGTTTGATACAGTACAATCAATTAACTCAGCTCAGTTGCTAACTTACCTAATATACAATTGGCTCAGCTCAATCCTTATCTTATGTATATTTAATTGGCTCAGCTCAGTCCCTAACTTATCTACATTCAATTGATTCAGCTCAGTCTCTAACTTATCTATATTCAGTTGATTCAGCTCAGCCTCTAACTTACCTGTATTCAATTGGCTCAACTCAGTTTCTCACTCACCTATGTTCAATTGGCTCAGCGCAGTCTCTTACATATATACAATTAGCTCAGTTCTTTATTTATTTTTATTTAATTGACTTAGCTCAGTTCCTAACTTACCTATGTTGTTTAACCATCCCTCACTAAAAGATGCAGAGATGTAATAAAAAAAAATTAACCACCATTGCAGAAACGAAATAAGCATAAATGTGAATTTAAATGAAATATGAATACTCATATATAATAATTGCTATTTATTAGTATTAAATAAACTAATTTATATATATTAATATTAGAAATATTTGATCTCGTTAAACTTTTATTGATTTTTTTTAATGAAATAAATAGCGTAAATAATTCAAAATATTTTACATTCTGGCGCTCATTGAAAGAGGATTGCTGAAATCAAACGTTGGCTTACTGCAGTGGCTTACCGAGGCTCATAGAACTTATGTGGTAGTGGCCTTTTGTACATATGATGCCATGGATATCATGGATATAATGATCCATGATGGATATATATATGTATATCCAAGTAAGATGCTTTAAACAAATCAACAGAGTCATTAGTTCAATTTTTGTTTCCTAGAATGCGGCGCTCATAATAGTGTTTAAAGCTGGTAATTTGTCACTGGATTCGTTGAGTATCTTCCGAACATGAAAATGTAAAACTTGTAGATGAAATTCCGACAATTTTTATTCATATCACCTTGAACCTTGCGAATAGTTATTATTATTACATATTGCTGAACCTCCAATATAGTTCGATTTCAGTTTTTTAAACGTGGCACTCATAAAGTGTATAGAGATTAAATGGTAAAAAAGGTTATAGAGCTGGTAGTTAACGAATTAATAATGAACGAATTAATTAATTAATTCGTTCATTTATTCATTCAACCAATCAATCATTTGTCCCTTCATCTTAACATTCATATATTTTTACGCTAGTGAAAAATTTTTTCTACATGATGGTCAGAGTTGGGTTGTGATGGAGTTTCAGAGGTGTCTCAAATGATGGTCGGTGCTGTGGAGGGCTATTTGAAGTGAAAAAATTTTTGAGGTGATTTTGAAAATTACAAAAATCATTAAAATCACACAAATATAGATATGAAATAAAAATCCCAATACGTAGACTGAAACGTTTCAAAATCAAAACTAATTACGAGTGAATCAAATCATGGTTTAAAATCATTTTAGTTAAAATCTTACCCAGCACTGATTTGTAGAAGTATGCAGTATTCGAAAGGAGATTGTTAAGAGTACTTGTATGTGCGTGTGTATTTTGTACGTGTGTATGTATGTATGTATATGTTTTTGTGTGTGTGTGTGTGCGTGTGCGTGCGATACTTAATTCATGATTACAATTCGTGAACGCTTTTCTTGATAATCTTTTTTCATGTTTAGTTTACAAATAAACAAACAAGTTTCATCGGTCGAATTTCAATATAAGAGCTGATAGATTGTCATGAAAATTTTAAATAACCGGTAAAACGTTTGATAAAATTAAAACAAAGTTCAATAAAATTTAATAAAAATTTATTAACATTCACTAAAATGTAATGACATTTAACATTATTATACATCTTTCTACTCTTATATATATATATATATATATATATATATATATATATATATATATATATATATATATATATATATATATATATATATAGGTCAGTTATAATTCAATCATTTAGATTTGATTTAAAGATATCACCACAAACAACAACATCAACAACAATTCAAGTTGATCAATACGTAAAAACGTAGAATCAATTTTTAAATTCAAACTCAGTCAGCCACAACCAAAACTTCAACTCCAAACTAATCAAAATCATTTAAATGAGATTAAAAAAAACATTAGCCAATTAAATTCAAAGTCTCAAACTAATAACCATCCAATTATAGTAATCTAATTAAAAACCACCAAGCCAATCAAATTCACTCAAGTAGGGACCATCAACCGATGGAATTGCGTGAAAATTTTTCAACAATAATTTCCAGCCAATCAGACATCAGGATCTCATGTAAGCCCCTCCCCTCTCTGAGATACGATGTTGTACTTGATGAAGAATGTTTTGATTCCCTCGTACGTGCCAATCATGATGGCGCAAGCTGGAGCCACTTTCACTAGTCTGGGGACGGATCCTGATAACGATGCAAATGAAGAGGAAGATGATGATGTGATGATGAAGACGAAGATGGTGATAACAATGATAAATGGTGTCACAATGAAGACGATGATGAAGATACGAAGATAATCGTGAAGAAGACGATGATGATGATAACAAAAAATGAAGAATAATGTGATGATGATGATGATAACAACAAAAAAGAAGAGAGCTACAGTATAATCACAAAAACCAACCAACCCACCAGCCAACCAACAAACCAACCAACCAACCAACCAACCAACAAACCATTCAACCAATCAACCAACCAATCAACCAACCAACCAATCAACCAACCAACCAACCAACCAATCAACCAACCAACCAACCAACCAACCAACCAACCAACCAATCAACCAACCAACCAATCAACCAACCAACCAACCAACCAACCAACCAACCAATCAACCAACCAACCAACCAATCAACCAACCAATCAACCAACCAACCAGCAAACAATCCCTTTATTCCTTTCTCCCTGTACAATCTCTCAATCATCTTCATTGTTGACGGAACCTTCCATCTCTTTCTGTTAGCTATTATTATTATTATTGTCATAATAATAATAATAATTATTATTATTGTTATAATTATTATTATTATTGTTATTATTAATAATACAGTCTACTATAGTATTATAGCAAATGTAATATTATTAACTCTTAAGCTGTTACTATAACAATAATAATAATTATTATTATTATTTTATTATTTGTAGTATCTTATTATAATTTCATTATTATAGACGCTATATTATCATATTATAAATATAAATAATAATTATGACTCATTAATACTACTACTTGACAAGTTGTTGCAATAATTATTAAAAGAATTATTAAAACCACCTCTTATGCTATTGCTCCTTGAACTGTTAATACTAGCAGTAGTGGTGGTAGCAGCGGTAGAAGTAGCCATAGCAGCAGCAGCAGTGGCTGTAGCGGTAGTGGTAGTGCCCAATTCGATTTGTCTGTGCGTCTTTATGACGTCGAATGGCAACGTCAAAATGGCGGCAATCTGCGTGGGAGAGGGAATGAGTGAATGAATGAGTGATCAGATGAATGAATGATTGAATGAGTGATTGGATGGATGAATGAATGAATAATTGAATGAATGTATAGAAAAGTGGATAGCTGAGTGAAGGATAGATGAATTAGATGAGTAATTAGACCATGTTACATTCCATCTGTCCCATTCATCCTTTTATTAATTCATTCATTCATTCATCCATCCATCAATCCATTCATTCATTCATTCACTCATTCATTCAACTTACACTTCCGGAAATGGCCCCAGCGACGAAACAATCCGTCAACAGAGGACGCTGTCCGCCATTCCTTCTAACTCTCTCTGCCTTTATCCTCTCATAACCATACCAATATATGGCTGTGTGATTGTGTGTGTGTGTGCGAGCGTGTGCGTGCTATTAAATAATTAATTAATAAATATAAATAAAAATTAATTGTAAAAATAAAAATATACAGTGATAAATGTTAACGAGTAAATGAATGAGTGGTCAACTAAACTAGAAAATCATCTCTGAAATTAAATTTTTGAATAAATAAATAAATGAATGAAAGGACGAACGAACGAATGAAAGAACGAATGAATGAATGAACAAACTAATGAATGAACGAATGAATAACAAACCGGAAAATGGTACATCCCTAAGAAGACTGGCCGCCAGGCCACTGAAAACGAAACCGAAACCAGAGTGGGAGAAAGTAATTTTGATAGCCTGAGCCATTTCTGGGTAGGTGAGTTTCTTCGACTGAAGTTTCGTTCTGAAGAGCTCGAGGGGATTGAAGAGTGTGACCATTAGGGCTGTAAGGATGAGTGAGAAAACGAATGAGTGGATGAATGAATGAGAAATTGAGTGAAGGAATGACTGAGTGAGTTGTTATCGTCATTCTCATCATCACTAACATTATAGGGAATATTAGATATATGAGTGAAAAGAGAGTAAAAAAATGAATTTCCATCATCATCACCCCCATCGTCATCATCATCATCATAATTATCACCATCATCATCATCATCATAACCACCACCACCACCGACCTCTACACAGAGAGCCGGCCAATGGTGGAATGTAAGCCGTCTTGGGGTCCTGTTCATCATAACCCATCCTGTACTTCACCATGTCGTACAATGGGAAGTAGCATATTGTGAGTGGCAATGATAAAACCCTGGTGATGATGGTGACGATGACGTAATAGAGTTGACGCTGATGAAATCAATATAGTGATGACGAAGCTGATTATTATCATAACAATAATATCGATGATATCTGATGTTTATGGTGATACGATGTATCAGTTATAATAATGATGTTGCCGATAACGATGAAGACACAAGATAGCATAGTGGTAAAGTGTCCATTTGCTGTGTTGCAGTGCCTGAGTTTGAATGCAATGCAGAGATCCAATTTAGGTAATCAATCAATCGGTCAGTCGATTGGTTGGTTGGCCAATCAGCCAGCCATTCAATCAATCAATTAATCAATCAACCAATCAATCAAATTGAGCCTGAACAAGTAGATAACATACACAAACATAATGAGTAACTGTTATGGTTTATGATAGTGACAACAATGATGATGATGATAAAGATGAATGTGACCATCATCTATGCATCTTACAATGTTGGTCCAAGTCCACTCCAGAGTGATGTTATTCCCTCTAGCTGTACTATCTTTAGGAAGGCATCCTGAATGTGCATTAGCATAAATTAACATAAATTAGCATAAACTAACACAACATTAGATAGCATAAGTTATAAATTTACACAGGTTAACATAAATTAACATATAGGAGATGAATCAATTATAGCAACTATAAATAACAAACTAAAGAAACAACCCTTGTGCCACTAAATTTCATCTGAGAAGAGAAAGATGACGACAATGAAGATGGCAAAGACGATGTAGATGTTGATGACGTTATAGATCTGTAGACAATGGATCTGGGGTATGTTCTTGGGTTTTCCCGACAATGATTACATTCACATAAAAAATCCATCAACCCATTCCTGTAGAGATAGATGGAATGATCTGGATGGTGATGATAATGATGGGGGTCCAGTATCTTGTGCTGGGCTTGAAGACGAATTTTTACTACATCAAGTGGCGTAACTGAAAAAAAATTGTTAGAGAAATAATCTTACTTAACTTTCAATCCCTTTCTTATTATCTTATATTTTATTTTAAATTTAAAGAATTTTTAATTTTAGATTTAAAATTAGTAATCGCCACCTGCTAGAGCTGTCAGTGTTGATCCGGCAAGCGATGAGAAACTCTTCTGATAGAATGTCAAATTTCGCTCGCTGTCATTTCTTAAGGAATCCCTAATCGAGGCATTATTATTTTTTAAATACTGCAAATTTGCAAAAATCCTGCTGAAATACTTCGGCTCCAATCTATGATTTTCCGACATTTATAGTTTGATATGAAAATTTTCTATCTTATGAATAATTTAAATAAAAAAGTTGCATTTTCAAATTTAGATCACAATTACGTAACAATTCTAAACAATATGCATGCTCCTTGAGCACAAGGTTCATTTACTTTTAAACATTTAAAAGTAAACTGAAATAACAAAACATTTTTTGGTTTTGTTTATTTACCGCTAACTTTTTTTTAACAACAGGAACTATTACTGTATATTATAATTGTTAGGCTATTAATACTTGTTAATTATTCATTATCTATAAAATACTATGGTGCTTTTGACAGGTTGGCTGATAAATATACCACTGCCGACACACAATGTATTAAGAGTTCGGGTAATGCCAACTGCCTATTGACTGATTTCAACCTTCCTTTCGTTAACTGTACCAAATTTTCATTACCAGATAATTTAATTTACAATCCCTTCATATAGTTTTTTAATGAACTGGTTCTACAACACCAAGTGGCGGATCTAGGGGGTGCCGTTGAGAGCAATCTTCTAAGTCAGAAAAAGGAACGCTTTATGTGTAAAATCGACAAAATGGAAACGTAATAAATCGTCAGCCACACCACCACAAATCTTGGCATTCCGTAGAAATTTTCCTCCTCCTGTGAAATTTCAATCATTTTCAAATTTTTACCCCATCCTCCGTCAAAGTTGACTAGATCCGCCACTGACAATACCTAGATGACAAACCTACCTGGAGCCAAAATGTTCCAGTTTCCGAGGTAGGACGTTGTTTTCTTTTCATCAATTTTTTGCGCCAAATTAGACGATCACTTGTATCCATTTCATTTCATTTCATCACTAATTATGATTCAAATATATCAAAATGAATATATATAAGGCTGCAAAACTTTTATTGATGTTACCAACGTTACAATAGAATTGATACATTGATGCAACTAGAATGTGGTAATAAGTATAATTATATCGTATATATATATATATATATATATATATATATATATATATATATATATAGGAAAATTCATTACCGAAAATTTAGTTATAGATATGAATTATATTTGAAATTTTATTATAAATAATAAAAATTTGCATTAAACGAACCAATACAGATACACACACACACACACACACACACACACATAAATATATATATATATAAATATGCGAATAGTGCACAAATACCTAAAAAAAACTCAGTACTAATGCAAAGTTGTATATATGTGTATGAGTGCGTATGTATGTGTGTGTGTGTGTGTGTGTGCGTGCGTTATAATGTGACGTAACGAAAATTGAGAGAGAGAGAGAGAGAAACAGAAACAGAAAGACATAAAAAAAATAAAAAAATGTACACATGTGTACAGAAACAGCAAGTAATAATTTCAATGAAAATAAAGTCAATCACAAATCAAAGTTTAACGATGACAATCGGTTTATCAATTAACCAATCAATCGATCAATCAATATATCAAACGATCAATCAAATCTTAAAACATATATGTATATATATATATATATATATATATATATATATATATATGTGGGTGTGTGTATGTAATTCAGGTGATGACAGTTATTATTAAATTATTAGATGTAAAGAAAAAGAATAAGAATGAATGGACAGTGGAAAAAAAAATTTATAATAATAGAGAACAACAAATTAGTTTAAAAAAGCAAAGAACTTGTATCAATTTATATAAAAACAAAAACCGTTGAAAATATAACAAAAAACATAAAATAAAACTAAGTAAATAATAACAACAGTCTTTTTTATTCAAATTTTATAGAAAATAAAACAATTAAATAGAGAAGAAATAAAGAAAAACACCAAAGAAATAAAAATTTAAACATTCCATTGTCTGCTGTATAAAATTGAAAGGTATAGTGAACTTCGATCGAAAAACTGAAAAAAGAGACGAACGAAAAGTTAAAAAATTAATATAAATAAAAATCAACAATAACATGACAATAATAACAATAAAAACGGGCGTAATAACATTGAATAAATAATAAAGAAATTAATTAATAAATAATGCTCCTTACATACAGTAAGAAAGATGGAGAGAAAAATTAAATTATGCAATGGTAATGCTAACCAATCAAGCTGTCAATATATATATAAATATATATATGTAAAACATATATATGACTTAATACTAGTTCTATATATATATATATATATATGTATGAGCGTGTGTAGGTGTTTAAATATAGCAATAAGAAAGTATCCACCATTAACTTAAAAGTTAATAATCATTGTATAAATTAAAACGACTCTCCTCTCAAATAATAAATTTATTATTCAGTAAAAAAAAAACAAATAAACCAAAAATTATAAAAAATTTTTATTGTTGAAATGAGTAAATCTTGAAAAAAAATGACAGCTCGAATGAAACAATGTGTGAAAACATAAAACGAGACATAAAACTAACCAACTGCAAACAAATTAATTAATTAGTTTTTAGAGAATTTTAAATATGGAAATTAAAAATCATAAAATAAGAAAAAAAAATTGCAAGATTGCAACTAAATTGAAAAAGAACAATAACCTACATACATACAAATACAGTGTTGTCTTCTCTAACAAACTAATTATTAAAATTATAAAAAAAAATAAAAAGAAAAACAAAAGAATCAAATTATGAAAAATATCTAATCAACAGACATCCCTAAAATTAGGGAGTGGGGACGGCTATTTTCCCAACTGCCTCCCCGGTAACGATCGGATCGACAATGGCCGACATGTTGGCCAAGTGATCAAAAATCTGAAACTCAAATCCGTTGTTAGGATCGATGAGGTTATTATTATTATTACTATTATTCTTATTAATATTATTCATATTATTGTTACTGTTATTGTGACTAGTTTCGATGGATTCGTCGACCAATAAAAAATCATGGACCCCTCCTTGCTGCTGAGAATGATGGCGATGATTATTAAGCATATCAGACAGGTGGTCGTCACTGACACTACCAGCCCCTAATAAATGCTGTTGCTGCTGTTGGCTGGAGTTAGTAGGGAACTCCTCGTGAATGGATTTGTGTCGTTCAAGTTCGCTGGGGTACCTAAATCGACGGCCGCACATGACGCAAACATGGCGCATAGAGGCCAACTTTTCTTCCTCAGTTTGTATGCTATGTTTGTTTCTTACGTGGTTGTGCAGAGAGCTGTGGTGTGCAAATTTTGCATCACACTGTCGACAGGCGTGTGGTCTTCGACCGAAATGTCCATTCAAGTGCTCATAGAGGCCATTTCTTATTTTAAACATGCTGTTGCAGAGTCTGCACATGTAGCGGTAGAGGCCGTGGGGGGTCCGCACATATATTTCCTCATAGCATCGACCCGAGAATACTGAACTGTTTATGCCCTTTTTAGATTTGAATAGTTTTGTTGTTTTTGTGAGGTTGCTGTTGCTGCTTGTGCTGCTGCTGTTGTTGTTGTTGCAGGTGTCGGGGTTTAAGTTGTTTATGTCGTTTTCAAGGTTAGCTGTTAGATTAAGGAGATTTAAAGAGTCATTAGTCGCATTGTCTAAATCAAAATCTGGAGTTTCTTGTTTAATAGTTTGCAGAAGACTGTTAGTTAAGTTAGTATTGCTGTGACTTCCACTGTACGTCATTCTTTTTCTATGCCTCAGCGGCCGATAAATGCAGTTGCGTTTCTTTGCATTCAAACTGTAGAGGGTGCTTTTTGAAACCCTGTGGTGGTTGTTATCAACTGAGTTTGATTGAGACAAATAATCATTTGATCTGTAGGATGTCTCACTAATTGACAAATTAGTACTTTGGGTGATTACGTCTGCTTCTAACGATGATGGCAAATCAACTAAGCAGCCGTTTATATCATGTTCAAGTGAATTATTGTTAGATCGACCTATGTTCTCAAGCCATTTGCTGCTTTCACTGTTGTTCTTGTCCGGAACTGAGTGGGAGTTTACAAATGACAAGTTGTCCTCTGCATTCGAATTGCTGTCAAACAAAGGCAGTTCATCAGACTGGCTGCCGATCAGTTCTGTTATTTGGAAGACGACGAATGAATTTCTATCTGAGACCAAACAAATCGTGCCCTCGATTCTCATCTCGTCCTCATAAAAAGTTTCGTTGCGACATATTTCTGTGACTGCGGCTATCAACCTCTTCCGGAAACCTTCCCGCTCCAACTCCGGATTCGTTGCACTTTCTCGCATGACCTCGGATCTGCCGATCGGATCAACAACAAAAAATCGTTAAAAAACCCTATTAAAAAAATTTTTTAAATTATTTCTCATGCTCGAAACATTACTTAAACTTTAAAAATTGCATTTTTGAAGTAAATTTTTAAATAAATAAACAAATATTAACGGAAAATTAAATATTTCCAAACCTGACCGATATTATTGCCTGGTAGAATAATTTAAAACAAACAAACACGAACAACATCTATCGATACCTACCGGAAAATTTATCGACATTTTGAGGCGATTAATTTTTTATTTTATAGCTTTATTTTGCTTTTTTACCTAACAATTTTGGTTAAAAAAAAAGTTTTTTTTTTATAAAAAATTAAAATAAATTTTTTCCTATCTACAAATATGTATAAGACGTTTTGCTGATACACAATGGCATTCAAAATCCGATAAAATGACAAAAATGACTTCAAAAGGACTTTAAAACTCAAAAAAGTGATAATTTGAAGTATATATTAATTAGTTTAATTAATAAAGATTAGTAATTTGTTAAAAATTTGACAAATTTACCTTTAATCAGCTGTAAGTAGGCGAAAGTTTCGGTAATTAAAAGAAGCGACATTCCACATCACTAATTGCTCTGAAGTTTCAAATTAATCATTATCCTGCTTGGTAGTCCGTTTAGGTAAGATCCGAAAAAAAAGAACTCAAAAATGGTGAGCTAAATCACTTTTTTTGCCTAAATTTTATTTCATAAATGTGTTATTTATTGATGATTGCAACTTTCTGTGTTGTTTTTGCGATTTTTTTTCTGTTTTGTTACGCTTAAAAATTAGTTCCGCCCTGGCTGGCGCTGAATTCCTGCTGCCTCCACACATTCCATTGTTTTTAAATTTTAATTATTTAATTTAATTTGTTTTTATATTTATTTTTTTGCCACAGACGCAGTTTTCAGAAGATCAATTGAGTGGTTAATCAAATTTTCTATGAATTATTCAATTATTGTCATTGAAATGAAATTTAAATTAGGAAAAGTTTAAAACTTTAAAAACTTGGCGTTAAAATTGAGTTTAATTTTTTAAATATAATTTTCATTTATAGTGAGGGTACACAACTAATTGAATTGATTATTTATGATGCTGTGAAATATAATCGTAAACAATATCAATTAATCCTTGTTTATTTTATACTTTTATAGTCTCCATTCGTTATTATTCGGACTTTTTTATTCCATTCTTCAGTTTTATTTTAATCATAAACAATAAATAATTCTAATTAAATTGTATTCTTTTCTAATGTACCTATATTCTCTTTAGAATTCCAGGAAACATTCTCTCTATTTGACAACAAAGGGGATGGCAAAATAGCTGTCAATCAGTTGGGGGAAGTTTTAAGGGCCATGGGGCAGAATCCAACAGAAGCTGAAGTCAAGAAATGTAGCTTCAATAAAGAACCTGGTCAGTTTGTTGGGGTGACATATTTTCATTATGAATATGAAGTTTTTAAAACGAAATGAAATAAAAGGCAAGAGAGCATCTTACATCTCTTTACGTCAAAATTTCTAATTCATATCCACTTTTGCTCTTTTGTTATATACAGAAAGTCGAATCTCTTTTGAAACATTTTTGCCTATTCTGGTGACAATCAGTAAAAATAAGGAGGCCCCAAAAGTTGAAGATTTTATTGAAGGATTTAGAGTTTTTGATAAGGATCAAAATGGAACCATACACTCTGCCGAATTGCGCCACCTTCTGACTAATTTAGGTATTTTTTAGAATTTTTTCTATCAAAAAAAATTTCATTTAAAATGATATTTTTGATTAAAAATATTGAATTTTTTATTCCAATTTGATATATTTGATATCTTTGGTAATCAGGTGAAAGGTTGACGGATGATGAAGTCAATGAACTTCTCCAAGGTCACGAAGATGCGCAAGGAAATGTAAACTATGAAGGTACATCACTATTTTTATTGTTGTTGCTGTTTTTCTTTTTTATTTTTCTTCTTATTATTATAATTGTTAGTATCAACATTATTCAATATGAAGATTCATCTTTGTTGATGCCAATATTATTATTATTTTTATTTCTCCAATTGCCATTGATGTTAGTTAGCATCATCACTATTCTCTCTTTCGCTATGATACTTTCCAAGAGGATGGTATACTTTTATATGTTTTGATACATTTTGATTTGTAATAATTTTTTCCTCTACAGAGTTCATAAAGAAAGTGATAACAGGCTAGAATGGAGATAGTGAATGACGAAAGAAAGAGGAAGAAAGGGAGAGTGGGAGAAAGAGAGAGAGAGAAATATTTTTAATGCATTGAAAAATAAATGAAAAAAAATTTTATTTAAAAAAAATATTTATTCCTTCCTTTCTCTGAACTAAATTTTTCTATTTTCACATTATGCCATGTAGAATGTACTCACATATATATATATATATATTTATACATATATATTTATTTATGTGGGTATATATATATATATATATATAATTGGATTAAGGATGTCTTATATGCAGTTGTTTAATGATATCACAGCATTGCATGCGTTTTCCAAATTGAACAACTTATGCAGTACTGTGACATTTTTAGGCTATATATATATATATATATATATACACACATGTATATGTATATATATATATATATACACACATGTATATGTATATAAGTATTTATGTATATGTATGTATATATAATCATTGTGTCCTTACTCATTGCTAATCATTATTATTGATCACTTCATAGCTATAATTATCATCGTATAGTAATGATTATGATGGCTGTGATGACGATAGTGATCACGTGATCAAATGATTCCATTTTTTGAAAGCACCAATGTACTTGTGTTTGTGGTTAATTTTATTCATGGATGTATGTTTGTGTGTGCGTGCGTACGTGTATTGTATGTGTTTGAATCGTTTGCACATTTGGATATGATAAGCTTGTTCCCTCAAACTTGAGACAATTGTGGCTCCTAGTGTATTCATTTAATTCTATAAGCATGAACTGAACATTCATCTGACTGGCGGGTAAACTGCAAGTGTGTCTGTGTTTGTATGCGTGCGCGTGTGTGCGTTTATGTACGTATGTGTGTGTGTGTTTGTATTTTACGCATATATACGTTTTACATGTGTATGTTTGTATGCACGCACTGATTTTTGCTACACTAGCTCTCTGAACGGAATTAAAAATTTTAACCTGTCTTCCTTCCCATCTGGTGGTTTTTGTGCGTACATACGTATATATACACCCTTAGTACCCTACATTGTCCAGACAACTACTTATAAAACATTAATCTGTTTTAGAGAAGAAATTACGTTACGTTATGATTAATTTATTTATGCTTGGTTATATTCATGGTTATATTTGTTGCTTAAATGTACCGGCCAATATATGGCGACCTCTGTTGCTTTTTCATCCGTTAATTCTGAATTCAAATTTCGTTTCTCTATCTCGAATCTTCTGAAGTTTAACGATTACTGCTATTTATTTATCTTTCTGATTAAAAATAATATTAGCATCATTATGGTTAATCGCCTTTATTATTATTTTCACGATCCTTATTTTCCAATTATAATGTATCACCAGTTTTTCATTGAAACACATACATACATACACACAAACATACAGACAGACATACATAAGCTAAATATTTCACATTATCTTTATACGCTGTTATTCTTTTAATTTTATGTTCTATCACTAATATCAAGCAAGCACTATACACACACACACATACACACACAAACACAGGTATACCATATATGAAAAATTATTTTATTTCATTCATTCGTTCGTTCGTTTATAAATAATAATGAAATCAAGCTTGTTTTCATTATCATTTGTTATGTATATATAAATATATATATATAATAAATATTATAAATAATTTATATATAATGAATCGAAATTTTTATTATATACCCATAATTTATTCAATCCATCCACACACAGTAACAACAACCACAACAGCAACACGATTGTCATCGTTAACACTACTGTTTATACTTGAATACTCAGTATAAATCCCAGGGTTTTTACCATTAGCGTTGTTACTCACATCATCATTACTAAAATAATTAACAACAACAATAATAAATAATACTTTCAATTTTGTTCACGTTTTATTAATTTTTAACCCGTTAAACCTTTTCACGCAGGGTGACCTTTAACTTTGATCTTTGACCCTCCATACGGAACATATGATCCACAACTTTGTAGCCCCAGACAGCAGAATGCAGGACCTGTGACCTTCAACTTTCCTCATGCAGTACGACCTTTAACCTTTCTGATTTAACCGACTGTGGGCCGTAGAGTGTCTCCGCCCTCTTGAAAAATGCTCTGACCATTTTTTTGATGACCTCGTCGAAAAATAACTGCGTCAGTTGGGAGTGGAAGCTGAGCTTGAATTGAAATTCTACCTGTTTTTAGAAGTAAGTTTAATTATATAGTTAATTAAACATAATTAATTGAAATTAATTAATTAATTGAAATTAATTAATTCAAAAATGAAACTGATTGACTGCTTGATGGAGTTAAATAACTGACTGAAAGATAAAAAATGTGTAAATGCATTTGACCTTCTGTGTGATTGCAAACATTAACTGATTTATTGGCGAAAAAATTAACTGAATGAAATATAAAAAGATGCAACTGATTGATCGATTGGTTTAAAAGTTGAATGACATACGAAAAAACTAAGAACACAGGTGTTTTTCTTTGAGGGGTCCAATCCAGGTGAGAAAGACCAGATAGTTAGCAGGTGATTGAATAACATACCATCACTGCATACTGACTGTGCGTATGTTTGTGTGTGTCAGCATTTGATTGAATGTATGCATGTTTTTACCGTGGGGTTAAAAATGAAATTATAAAAACATCTAAAAATTTTGTAACTTTGTAAAAAACTTCATAAATAAAAAAATATTTGCCCATCCCTACCTTAACTTCAAATGGCCTAATAGTGGTCACTCGAGAGTTGTACCTTTCTAGTAATGGTGGAAACCCGACAGTTAGGCGACAGTCAAACGAATTTTCACTGGACCCCCTTGATACCAACGACTCTTTGCACCAAGGTACAAATTCATGATAGTGCTCTACCTGGCTTACAATTGTGTACATTTGCTCCATTGAATATCTGTGTGGTTTTTAGAGTATAATTTATTTTAATTTAATAAAAATGGTTAAAACATTATAAAAAAAACAAACAAAAAAGTGTAAATAGTACAACGAATTAGCAATTTTTAACAGTTTATTAATAAAATTAGTGATACAAAATATTAATTAAATTTAAAATACTACATTACTCAAATGATTAAAAGTGAAACTAGCCCTAGTAAATGTTTTTCTTCGTATCTCAATTTTTTCCCCGGCTTTCCTCCTCCAAGTGTGTCTGCAAGTTTCGAGAAGAGGAAACGTTTGTGTTGGGCATTTGTTCGGATTGGGATGTTGTTAGTCCTTTCAGTTGTGTGTGTGTTGTAACTATTTAATAACCTGCATGTTAAATCAGTAAGTAAGACAATAAGATCAATAAGTAAGATCAATCAAATAGTTAGTTAATTAACCAACCAATTAATCAATTAATAAGTAATCAATTTCTAGTTATTATTCAATCAATGCCTAATGATCATGATCAATTATTCAATTCCTCATTTAAGACATTCAATGCATTATCCATCATTATATTAACATTTTATTTTAATAAATCAATTTAATTTATATTATATTATAATTATACAATACACTTGCCAATTACGAAATTATATTAAAAATATAATTCAAATTACCTAGCTTCATTATTGATGAGTGTTGTTGCTGACAGGCACCTAACAACAGAGTCCAAATGAAATTTTTTGTTGAAACATTTTGAATGAAAAATGACAGGCCGAACGCGTAATAAAACAATCGCCATTTTTAGAAAGTTTTCAAACAATAAATCATTTAACTTTAAACATGATTTATAAATTAAATAAAACTAAAACTAAAAATTAGACATAAAATTAACCTAAAACAGCGTTAACACTCAGTTAAAGAAGTAAAGCAAACTATTAAAACTTAAATTTACTTTTAATCAAAGAGATGTGTGGTAACTATTATTAAATTCTGATTATGAACAGGGGTAGTATAGTTCATGTCTTAATCAATAAGTCTTCACTAATTCATCACTAAAGTCATCAAAATTGTTATCAGTTTAGTCATGCCTATTACCATAAACTAGAATCTAAAAAATTGACTGCATTTTATCATTTATATTTTATTTGTTTAACAAAGGAAATCACAAAAACCAACAATTTATATATCATTTCTATTTTGCATTGAATACAAAACGGTGAAACAATTTTGAAATTAACTAGCGTTAATAATAACAATAATAATAAAAACAACAACAATAATAGTATAAATAATAATAACAATAATAATAAAAATGAAAGAGAAAAAATTATGAAGAACAAGAATCTGTTTGTGACGTGTGATTAAAAATTTAGTGAAACCATCAGAAATTGTGAAGAAAAACTATGCTAACAAACATAAAAAACAAAATAACGATTACTAGTAGTAGTAGTAGTAGTAGTAGTAGTAGTAGTAGTAGTAGTAGTAGTAGTAGTAGTAGTAGTAGTAGTAGGAGTAGTAGTAGTAGTAGTAGTAGTAGTAGTAGTAGTAGTAGCAGTAGTAGTGGTAGTAGTAATAGTAGTTGTAGTAGTAGTAGCAGTAGTAGTAGCGGTAGAAGAAGTAGTAGTGGTATTAGTATCAAAGCCTTAAAATTTAACACATAAACTTTCATAAAAAATAACACAACTCTTAAAACATCGCTAAATGTTACAAATTACGTTCTATTATAAGTCTTAATTTTATTACAATTAATAATTTTCATCCATATTTCTCTCATAATTATCCTAAAACTATTCATAATTATCCATAATTGTTTTTAATTATTCGATATTTATCGATAATTATTCCATAATTTTCTCCTGATGAAACTTAGTTTTAATCTCATGAACGACTTTCTCCATTTGAAAAGCAATTTTCCGGTCTGGCTGGTAATCACTTTCACTTTTATTTTCAGTCATGAAGTCCTTGACCTTATTAATAATTAATTAATTAATTAATTAGCCGGTTGATTCATTCAATTATTCATTCATTGATTCGCACGGTTTTTCCGTCCATTCGTTCGTTGGTTCGCTCACTCACTCCTTCATTGATTAATTTTTTATCCTACTGTTCATTCATTCATTCATTCGTTCGTTTGTTCGTTCGTTCATTCATTCATTCGTTCATTCATTCATTCATTCATTCGTTCATTCATTCATTCAGCAAATTACATTGAAAAGTTTTTCTTTCGTCTCTTTCTCTTCTAGAAACAGTTGATGTTGTTGTTGTTGCTGCTGATGTTGTTCGTTTGGCTGGGCGATATTCGGGGTGCTTCTAAACATCTGAAATTTCGAAGGAAAGAATTTCATTCTACATCTTCTTATATCATCAAACTATATCATTCAGATATCCTTTAGCTATCATTTTAACATAGGCTATCTCTATTCTATGTACCATTCAACAAGTATCCAGTGAGTAATTGTTGTTTAAAAACATTCTACCATCAGAGTATCACTGAGGAAAAAAAATTCAACGATACGTGTATAGACCGCATCTGTTCGGCTGGGATGTCTTTGCATTCAAATTCGGTCACTGCAATAGCAGTGCCAGGCGCCTTAACCACAACACCATTTATTAACATAATGATAATAATAACAATGATAATTAAATTAATAATGAAAATAATTATTATTATTATCACTTACGGTAACTTTCCTGTTGATACTCTGATAGGCTTTTGATAGGAAATTCTGCATGAACGATCTCCTCTTCGCCATGTCATTATTATTATTATTATTATTATTATTATTATTATTATTATTATTATTATTATTATTATTATTATTATTATTCGTATCATCATCATCGCCAACATTATTATTATTAATGTTGTTATTATTATTATTGTTATTGTTGTTTTCTTTAATGTTATTGCTACACTTATTATTATTATTATTATTGTTATTGTTATTTGTTGTTGTTGATGTCGCTTCAGTGACGACAAAATTTTCAGTTTTTTGTTGTCTTTTGACATCCAAAAATGACGTTTCAAACTGTAGAAAAGACTCTAAATAGTTGTGGTTCCTAAAGTTACCCCTTAACAAATTCAAACTCTCATCTGAGTTACACCTCAATATCGTTCTAAAGTAAAAACTGTTGTTGTTGTTGATGTCATTGTTATTGTTGGTGATGTTGTTGAGATTGTTGTTGTTGATGTAATTGTTGATGTTGTTGATATTGCTGTTGATGATTGGTGTTGACGTCATAACTGAAGTTGTCGTCAGATTGTTGAAGAGACGCTCGATTGTTGACGACATGTTGTTGATGTCATTGTTGTTGTTGCAGGTGTTGTTGTTGTTGCTATCGTTGATATTGTTGTTGTTGATGTTGTTGTTGTCGTCGTCAATGACGTTGTTTTGGCAATTAATGTCAGAGATGTTTTTGTTGTCTTTGTTGTTGTCTCTGTTGTTGTCTCTGTTGTTATCTTTGTTGATGTTTTTGTTGTTGTTGTTTACATTACAACTATTGATGTTGCTGTCATCGTCAAGTTTTATGCTATTGTTGTTTTTTCTAATGTTACCGTTATTTATTTCTTCGTTACTTTCTTTTGTCTTCAACTCGACTGCATCATAAAAGATCTTCTCGTTACAAATTAAAATGTTGTTGATGTTATTAATGTCATTAATGTTGTTTTTGTTGTTGTTGTTGTCATTATTATTTTCATAGTCATTTATGTTGTTGTTGTTGTTGTTGTCTTTGTTGACGTCATTGCAAGACGTTGCCGATGTTGGTGTTACTGTGGTTTCGAAGAGTGTCGAAAGCTCTTCGTCAATTTTTTCAAGTAGTATGTTGTATTTGATGTTGTTGTTGATGTTGTTGTTGTTGTTGATGTTGTCGTTGTTGTTGATGATGTTGTCGTGCATAA